GGAGAGAAACATGAGAGAATCGAAATGAAAGGATCAACCTTTGCCCTTGAATTCTGCGGGGATTTGTGGCCGTGGGTACATTTTAGCTCGGGATTTTTTACTTCGTTCGGGAGGCTGTCTAGACAGAAGTGTTCGGCCTTGTCTTCTCTTTAAGAAGAGAAGACCAGGATTAAAAAAAAAACGATTAAATCAAGTGAAATCGGTAAAATAATGACACCAGGAGCAAACAATACACGTATGGAATAAGGCAAGGCATTTTTATTTAATATTTTCCCTTTTAACTATCTCTATGGATATCTTGTAGAAAATCCCATACAAATCCTTATCAATCGATATGCAAATTGTGTTCCTTGTGTGGTTCCCAAAGAGAGCTTGGGCCGCCTGTGATGCCATCTTCAATCAATGAGTAACAGAACGTGGGTAATTATATAACAGACAAGTAGATGAATAAAATATTTACAGTATGATGTAATACAAAAGCGAGTACTAATTAAAACGTGACACCAAACATCAAAGGTGTGAACTAAAACGCTAGAAAAGTGGTATAATGCTGTAATTGTTTGTTAAGTTCAGGTTCTATTTCTTACAATACTAAAATTATTCCTATAAAATCACAAATTAAACGTCGCGTCAATAAAAATCGGTTTGTATGGCAGATAGACGGTTTTATCCCTTTAAGAGTATCTAGTATCTATTTCTCCTTACAATATCACCCCTAAATCACACATTAAGGTCAGGAGAATAAAGGAAATGATCACCAATTTAAGAAGCTCTAGATTGTTTAACAAAATTCTCCCTTGTCAGCACCTTAGGAATGTATAGAGAACAGTATGGAGAATATGCGTATTGATGTTAGGTTGTAAAGGGATAAATATCAGTAAGTACCTTCATTGTGAGTAAAGGGAGGACAAAAATATTCTAGTCGTTGCATGTCACTGTTTGTCAGGGCTTAATCCCAAAATAACATGTTATCTTGTGGCAATTCGTTAATAGAAGCGCCAGACAAAGATGAAACAAAGTCTAGTCAATCAGTGTTGCGAAATATTTTAATCCGATTGCAAGATTATGCAAAGTGTTTTTCACGGGCCCGGGGATGTTTTTGAAACTCAATAACCTCTGTATATGGCGTACAGTCGATCAGTCAAAGTCTAGTCAATCAGTGTAGCGAAATATTTTAATCCGATTGCAAGATTAAGCAAAGTGTTTTTCACGGAGCCGGGGATGTTTTTGCAACTGAACAACCTCTGTATATCAATGGCGTACTGGTCAGAAAGCCGCTTGACGACATGGCAAGTTCATGGAGAAAGGTGAGCGATAGGAAAAGGATTTGTATCCTGAGAACAAAGTTATGATTGAAATTATGCTCTTTCTTTTTTCGACTGATAAATACTTGAAAATATCTTTCATAGCATAAACAAAACACTGCTTATATACCAAAGTAATCGTTGGGCTTGATAATCAGGAAGAGACTTATCGCCTAGTTTCAGTCGAAATTTCTGACGTTAAGTCACGTAGATCGCAACAGAGCCAAATTTTAAGAGAATTTCCTTTTCTTTTAAAGAGTGTTTTTGAGTCAAAGCGAGCTGACATCAAATTCTTGTACGTCTAGCGACTTGACCACCCTTGATCATGCGTAAAGTAAATTATGCTCTTTTTTTTCCTTTTATTTTCGTTTCATCAAATACATGCTACCAAGGTTTGGAAGAAAGAATTGAAGGCTAAGAGATTTGGAACTGGCTCTACACCAGCATCGTCACCCCTTAGGGATGAAAAGTGAATTTCATTTTTCTTCTAGAAATTTGCAATTACTCGGTCGAAGGCCGCATGACGAAAATTGGTCTTCGTTTCCACACGCCTTCATAAAATGAAAGATACAACTACTTCAAAACGCGAACTAAATTTTTTTTTTGTTTCCATGAGTGAATTGTCCTACTCTTTGTTGGCAAACAGATTTTGGACAAAAGCTCTCTCACGCAGTTGTCAAAGACTTGCGAAGGTAATTTGTCATTGAATTTGTTCTCGCGAAGTAGACCGTATTAAGCCTGAGGGATCAAAAGCTATTTGCTCATCTAATTATGTCTGAAATCCTAAAGATATCAACTTAGCATTCTCCGGTAAAAGATGCTGATACCACTTTTCGCTGTACGTATAGAATGCGCTTTGTTCAGTGACGGCGTTTTAAACAATTCGAAGTATACAATGAATATATGAAGTTCATATATTTTAAACTGCGGTATTAAATACGTATGATGCACGATCCTTCGCAGTAGATAGCGCTATTTATGCAATAGCGAAAAAATCAGACCTGAAAAAAAT